TCTCAATCTCTTCACCATCCAGACTGATGCACACTTATTGGTTAGTGTGTATATTTGAATAATAGTTGTACTAACAAGTCTTCCTTGTATGCACATGGTAAGTATCCTTTCACTCAGCTTTGTACTTCAGTATAAACAGTATTAATTTAGCCAGTAGTTTTATTAGGTTAATGGACATCATAAGTTAGATATTGGAAGAATGAAGGAAGGCAAAAAAACCCCCTTTTGATTCATCTACATGCTTTCCCTAAAATATAAACTTTAGATTCAAAGATACATATTAGTTGAAAACAAAGAATGGAAAGATATATGATACAAACAGAAACTGAAAGAGTGCTTTGATAGCTATACTACTATCAAGGGAAAAAAATGAATTTTTAAGAGGAAAAAAATTATAAATGTTTAATCAAGCACAAAACTGTAGTTATTATAAAGAGATAAGCACTTAACAGAAGATCCACCAAATACATGAAGCAAAACTGGCAGAGTGAAGGGTGCAATGAACAGCAAGAGCTGGTGAGCTTGATACCTCACATTCTCTAAAGAACATTCTAAAGAAAAACTAGCTAGAAAGTTAACAAGAAAGAAAATTTAAACATTATAATCTAACTAGATATAAGAGACATCTTTAGAGCAAATGAATACTCCACTCAACAACAGAAAATTCATTCTTCTCCAGCCACATAAAATATGTTTTCAAGACAAACCATGAAACAACATTCTATGAATCTGAAAAGACTGAAATCATAACAAGTATATTTTAAGACCACAATGGATTAAAATTGTTATTGTTAGGTATGGGTTGAATATGACCCATAGTGACACTATCTGTTTGTTTTTTGGCAGTCCATTCAGTACTCTTCTGAATAGCACAACTCAAAGGCATAAATACTTCTTCTGTCATCCTTATTCATTGTCCAGCTCTCAGGTACACCTTAGTATTTAAAGTGACATTATGTTGGTCCTCAACAATTTAGAGAGGTCCCTGACTGCAGACATTTCCAGTGTAATACATATCCTGATGTCCTAAATTCTGGTACCAAGTTTATTGACTGTGGATTCCAGTAAGATGAAATTGTTGACAGTTTTAATCTTTTCTCCATCTATCATGATGTTGCTTTTTGGTGCAGTGGTGAGAATTCTTCTGTTCTTTGAGATGCAATCCATATTGAAGGCTGCATCCCGTGACCATCTGCTGCAAGTGCTTCAAGTTCTCACCTTCTGCAAGCAAGTTGGTTCATCTGAATAACATGGATTGTTGAGGCTTCCTTTGATCCTGATACCACATTCTTCTTCACAGAAACCAGCTTCTTGAAAATGTGCTCACAATACAGACTAAACATATACAAAGAAATTATATAACCCTGATGCACATAGAAAGTTATACTACCAAGTCCAAGGTGGAGGATTTTGATCTGTGGCCCTCAGACATGGTTTTAAATGTTTTTGGTCAAACAGTTATCTAAGTGATACTGCACTTGTCTGTCATTTGCTGTACAGAGGTGACTCATGGTCGCTATGATGCTAAACACTGTGACACTGGTGCATCAAATGGGATAATGGTTACCCATGGTGGACAGTGCAGTATGGTGGAGCTCCCTGATTAAAACAAGCTTGGAAGCAGGAATGACATCCACTTCCAAAAT